GCTTTTTCTAAAAGGAAGCAAAGTGCATCAGCCTCATCCGGTTGTGCTCAGGCATCACTCACTTGGTTCCATCAGTGCTGCTGAAACACCTTTCCCACTCCCTATGTGGGAGAAAGCAAACTGATGAAGCCTGTGTGAAATATTCAGAAGCCAGCTCAGTGCTCACATTTGTCTGCAGTCTCTGGAGGCCTGTTGCTCTCAGGTTTGATTGTGAGAGCACTGATGAGCTGCACTGTCTCTCCTAGCTTGGATACCTAAATTTGGACCATCTTTCTTCTGCCAAAAACAGAAATCAAAGAAGATTTAAGGTGGAAGTCAGACCTCACCTGAGTCTCCACTAGGTTACCTGACCCTAGTAGAATGGACTGGTCATTCCTATATGATCTATTTCCACAATATCTCAGTAGCAGCAATGGTGTGGGACTCTCCAAAATCTATCACATGCATAAAGATTCATAGCTACCTTATGGGAGAGCACAGGCTTTGGTGTCTTTCTGTAACAATCTCAGGAAGGGACATTTCTAAAACTGCTCCTTTTCCCACAGTGTGGAAAACCCACTTACATAAAGAAGACATTAGCATAATCTGTCAGGGGGGAGATGTTGAGAGCCACAGTCAAGTAGGAATGATGCCTAGCATTTTACCAGAGGGAGTGGTTGAGAGGTGATGCCAGTGAGCCATTGAGATGATAATGGCTAAGTTAAGCTGTGTATTCAGTTGTGTATAGACCCCTGCTGTCTGCCTAGGGTGCCCAGGGCACCCCGCCCCCGCTACTTTGGAGTTCTCCTGGGGATTCCTGGGGATTTCGCTTTGGTTGGGGAACTTCTGGAGGAGGGATTTCTGGTTGGTGGTGTTCCTGGAAAGGCCGTGTGGGTGTTGTTCTCGGGAGTTCGGGCAATAAAGGAGTTCCTGTTTGTACCTACAAGTGCCTCCTGGCGGCTCGGTTATTTTGTGCCCAGCCAGACTGTGGCACCACATGTTGCAGCATGCCCCTACAAGCTGTGACATGCCCTACAGGTGAGACCCAGTAGGGTCCCCACACTGGCGTCTCACTCAGACCACTCTGAGGAGATAGGAACCCTGGATCTACTTAGAGAAATGGCCCATGAGGGTCCCAAGGCCTGGCATCTCCCTCAGGGTGCTCTGAGAAGGTGTCCCTAGAGACATGACCCACGAGAGTCCCCACACCAGGCTTCTCCCTCAGGCTGCTCTGAGGAGAAGGGGGTTCCTGGTGATCCTAGAGACAAGACCCACAATGGTCCCCAACCCTGGCATCTCCATCAGGCTTCTCTGAGGAGAAGGAAAGCCTAGGTGATCCTAGAAATGTGACCCACAAGGGTGCCCAAAAGGGGCATCCCCCTCAGGCTGCTCTAAGGACAAAGGAGCCCCAGGCATCCCTAAAGACAAGACTCACGAAAGTCTCTAAGCAAAGAGTCCCCTGAGGCTGCTCTGAGGAGATATATATATGACAGTTTATTCATCCAATTCATCTATTGAAGGGCATTTAGGTTGCTTCCACAGTTTAGCTATTATAAATTGAGCTGCTATGAACATTGATATGGCTGTGTCACTGTAGTATGCTGATTTTAAGTCCTTTGGGTATAGACTGAGAATTGGGATAGCTGGGTCAAATGGTGGTTCCTTTCTAAGTTTTCTAAGGAATCTCCACACTGGTTTCCATAGTGGCTGCACCAATTTGCAGTCCCACCAGCAGTGTATGAGTGTGCCTTTTCTCCCACATCCTCACCAACATTTATTATTTTCTGTTTCTTGATAACTGCCATTCTGACTGGTGTGAAATGAAATCTTAGAGTAGTTTTGATTTCCATTTCTATAATTACTACAGATGTGGAAGACTTTTTCACATATTCATTGATTTAAGGTACATCTTCTTCTGGGAAGTCTCTGTTCAGCTCTAGCCCATTTTTTTATTAGATTGTTTGGTTTTTGTTTTGTTCTGTTTTATTGGGTTTGTTTTTTTTTTTTTTTTTTTTTTGGGGGGGGGGGGGGGGGGTATTAACTTTTTAGAGTTCTTTATGTATCCTGGAGATGAGTGGTCTATCTGACATATGTGTGGCAAAAATTTGCTTCCAAGTTGTAGGCTATTTGTTCACCTCATTGATTGTTTATTTTGCAGAGAAGAAGCTTTTTTGTTTGAGGTCATCACATTTAATAATTTTTTGTTTTATTTCTTATGCTTTAGGTGCTTTAGGACTCTTTTTAAAAAGTCGGGGCCTAATCCTACGTGATGAACATTTAGGCCTACTTTTTCCTCTATTAGGTGCAGGGTCTCTGTACTAATTCCTAGGTCCTTGATCCACTTTGATTGAATTTTGTGCATGGTGAAAGATAGGAGTCTATTTTCATTTTGCTGCATATGGATTCCCAGTTCTCCCAGCACCATGTTGAAGAGGCTATCTTTTCTCCAATATACGTTTTTGGTGCCATTGTCTAGTATGAGATAACTGTATTTATATGGGTTTATCTCTGTGTCTTCTATTCTGTGCCATTGGTCTACATGTCTATAATGGGTACCAATGCCATCCCATTTTTGTTACTATAGCTTTGTAGTATAGTTTAAGGTCTAGTAATGTGATGCCTCCTGCTTCACTCATCTTGCTAAGGATTGCTTTGGTGGCTCTGGGTCTCTTATTTTTCCAAATGAATTTCATGATTGCTTTTTCTATTTCTATAAGAAATGATGTTGGGATTTTAATTAGAATTGCATTATATCTATATAGTGCTTTGGGAAGTGTGGACATTTTGACAATATTAATTTTGCCTATCCAAGAGCATGGGAGATATTTCCATCCTCTAAGGTCTCCTTCAATTTCTTTCTTTAGTGTTCTGTAGTTTTCATTGTAGAGGTCTTTTACCTTTTGTTAATTCCCAAGTATATATTTTTCAAGGCTATTGTTAATGGGGTGGTTTTCCTAATTTCTCTGTCAGTATTCATCACTGATATATAGAAATGCATTTGATTTATGGGTATTGATTTTATATCCTGCTACTTTGATGAATTCATTAGTTAATTCTACAAGTTTTCTGGTGGTTTTTGGATCCTCTAAGATAGAATCATGTCATCAGCAAATAATGATAATTTAAGTTCTTTTTTTTTTTTTTTTCTATTTGCATCACTTTAATTTCTTTCATCTGTCTTATTGCTCTGGCTACAGTTTCAAGAACTATGTTGAACAGAAGTGGTGAAAAAGGGCATCTCTATCTTGTTCCAGGATTTAGAGTGAATGCTTCCAACTTTTTGCCATTTAGAATGATGTTGGCCTTGGGTTTAGCATAGATAGCTTTTACAATGTTGAGGTATGTTCCTACTAGTACTAATTTTTCTAATGTTTTGAACATGATAGGGTGCTGTATTTTGTCAAATGCTTTCTCAGCATTTTCACTTGATATAATTATGATTCTTATGTTTAAGTCTATTGATGTGATGAATTTATTTATTGATTTCCATATGTTGAAACATCTCTGCAATTGTGGAAAAAAAATCCACTTGATAATGGTGCACTATTTTTTTAATATGCTTTTGCATGCTATTTGCCAAAATTTTATTGAGAATTTTTTAAAATACTTTTTAGTTGTTGATGGACACAACACCTTTATTTTTTATTTGTTTATTTGTATGTAGTGCTAGAGGTCAAACCCAGAGCATCACACATGCTAGGCAAGTGCTCTAGCACTGAACCACAATCCTGGCCCCATTTATTGAGAATTTTTGCATCAAGGATATTGGTCTGAAGTTTCCTTTCCTTCATGTGTCTCTGCCTGGTTTTGGTATCAGGATGATACCACCTTTGTAGAATGAGTTTGAAAGGGTTCCTTTCTTTTCTATATCATGGAATTATTTGAGGATTAAATAAAATATAAATTATTTCTTGTAGGTCTTGTAGAACTCAGCTGTGAATCTGTCTGGTCCTGGAATTTTCTTGGTTAATAGGTTTTTGATGGTGTCTTCTTTCCTTGCTTGAAATTGATCTGTATGAGAAATGCAAATCAAAACTACTCTAAGATACCATCTCACCCCAATAAGAATGGCGGCCATTTTGAAGACAAACAACAATAAGTGTTGGGAAAGATACGGGGGAAAAAGTACACTCATACACTGCTGGTGGGACTGCAAATTAGTGCAGCCAATTTGGAAAGCAGTATGGAGATTCCTTGGAAAACTGGGAATGGAATCACAATTTGACCCAGCTATTCCTCTTCTTGGACTATACCCAAAGGACCTAAAAACAGCATACTACAGGGACACAGCCACATCAATGTTTATAGCAGCACAATTCACAATAGCTAAACTGTGTAGCCAAGCTAGATGTCCTTCAGTGGAAGAATGGATAAAAAAAGAAAGTGGCATTTATACACATGGAATATTATTCAGCACTAAAAAAGAATAAGTTCATGGCATTTGCAGGGAAATGGATGGCATTAGAGAAGATTATGCTAAGTGAAGTTAGCCAATCCCAAAAAAAAAAACAAATGCTGAATGTTTTCTCTGATATAAGGGGGGTGACTCAAAGTGGGATAGGGAGGGAGAGCATGGGTGGAAAATTACCTCTAGATAGGGATTAGGGGTGGGAGGGAAAAGGAGAGAGAAGGGGAATAGCAAGGATAGTGAAAGGAGATGGTCATCATTATACAAAATACATGTATAAGAAATGAATTTGATGTCAACATACCTTATACACAGAGATATGATAAATTGGGTATAAGGTGTATTAAGAATTGTAATGCAAAAAAATAAGAGAGCTCATTTATAATGATATAATTTGGCGTGAACATACTCTATATATAGAGTTATGAAAAATTGTGCTATGAATGGATAATTATGAAAGTAATGCACTCCACTATTATCATGTATGTAAGAAATAAATAAAAAATAAAAAGAAATTGATCTGTATAAATTGTAGGTCCTCTTGACTCAGTTTGGGTTGATCATATGCCACTGTAGTGTTTCTTAAGTCCATCCACAGCTTCTCTGACTTCAGTCATTTATCAAATCTAAAAATCATACTATAAAGATAAATGAAGAAACAAAACAAAACTATTGCATTTCATGACTAAACAATTAGGGTCACTCCAGGTGAACTGGGCTTCTCAAAATAATCACACAAAGACACAGAAAGACCTTTTTCTTTGAGTCTTGTGACACCTCCTCCAACCTTAGGGGTCCGTAGAAAGAGAGAGAGAGTTCACATGCAGAACCCTTTTATTGGGAAGAAGCCATTCAAATGAGGCAAGAGGTCAGGTATCAGGGGTTTGAGTCTAGCTTCCTGAAGTCTGCTGTCAGCAGATTGACTGACATCTAGAGAAGCCACGCCCATCTCATGAGCTGTGTAGGGATCATGGCAGAGCAAGCAAATGACCAGAGCAAGGCCCTCCCAAATAGAGGGGCAATGTCAGTTCAGTCCACTTTGTGGGCTATGTGCACATAGTTGACACACATACTGAGAAACTAATGTGACTCCATTTTTAAAAATAAATAAATAACAGCAGCTTCTACCCCAAGGCCTGTCCTAAGGAAGGGGGTGTGACCCTTGTCCTTGGAAAAACCCACAGAGCACTCCTAAGCACATACCCACCTGCTGAGTTGTTTGCTGTAAATAACAGGAGAGGTCTGCAGTGCCAGGTGTCCCTGACTCAGTTAGGCTAGGTGAGGACCCATAGCAACCCCCTAGCAACCTTCAATCAGCATAAGACAGAGAAAATACCTGGAATGCCAAATGACCCCCAAGTAGTTTATGGTGATTGATAACATGTTAGGAAACCATGTAGCTTAGCAGTACACTCCTCATGGCCTAAACCAATCAGTTCAAACGAATCCCCCTCTTATATTGACCAATCACCCCTACCCAAATTGTTCCTGCCATTGAATGTGCTAATCAATGTTAAGAGTTGTTGTTTGACTTTGCCATGGTATGGAATAATTTGCTGTGTGATGTTGTGATGCATAGAGTATTCCCCCAAAATCCTATAAAATCCCACTGAACAAAGGTCCGGGCGGACTCACTCCCTGGGACTGCTGACTCAGGAAAGGTTGTGAGTTCAGGCTTGAGCTTGCAATAAAGACTCTTGTGTGATTGCATTGGATTCAGCTCCTTGAGGTCTATTAGGGTCCCATGAATCTGGCATAACAATACAGCCCATGGCTGGCTTGCCACATCTCCACATTCTCATCCCTCAAGGCTAAGGGACACTTGGTTCCTATATGGCAGCTCCCAACAGGAAACCAAGCTTCATCATGGCTTTTTTCATGAGTGACCTCAATTTTGTATTTCTGTGGAATAAAACACCCCCATGTTGCCACTTGACACCATAATGAACCAATATATATTCCAAGTAGCAACAGGTAAGTTGAGAGGGAAGATAAAGCAGTCAAATGAAACAAGCAAAATATGGTGACAATGGTATGACCAAGCAATTCTGAGTAACATGATCTAGCATTAATGTCATCACATTATAAATCAGATGATATAATTCTGAAGTAGACTGAGAGGGAGATGAGGGCACAACAATTGTGGAGTGAGGAAACAAACACTACTGCCTCAATCCTCCTCCTTCTCCTTTCCTTCCTTCTCTGTTGCTGACACTCTTTCCATCAAACTGACAAGTAATATATCTACATATAGAAAATATGTAAAATCCACAAAAAAATCAACATATTTATATAACTTTATTGTTGGAATTAAGCATTTTAATAAATTGATTAATGCCTCAATTACTCTTTCTCACATGCTATGAGCAATTCAGCACCCTCCTTTAACAAGTACTAAATTACTGTAGTTTAGATGCTTCTGTCAAAGTCCAGAAACCACATAAATCATTTGAACAAGGAAAACTTAACATAGACCTATTCATGTCTGAGGCCCTGGATTTAATCCCCAGCACTGAGAAAAAAAGAAAAATAATCAAGTAGTAAAAAGTGGTTAACTACCAAAAGAAGTAAAAGAAGGATCCAAAGAATGCAGAAATGGCATATATAGTACCTCTTAGATTGAGGCAGAGTAGTCAAGGAAGGAAAAAATGTATGACAGGGTCCCCAATGAGACTGAGGTACAGAACTCATTGGGGAAGATGGAACCATGGCCCACTGGAAGGTTGAAATGGATCTGTAATGCTCCAACTCACCAGGTGTCCTCTTTCATAATACCCCACCCCCCAAACATTTCTGACACCAAATGTTTGGAGTTTTCCACATCAAGTTATTCTCCAATTCTCTGCATATATCTGGGTATCCTATAATTAAATTAAGGAATTACCAGAGACCCCAGAGGTTAAGTGGACCCCACAGTCTTAAAAGTATGTTCCCATGATTTCAGATGAAAATCACAAGATAACTCCTCAAGTTACCCACCTGTTTCTGAGGTTCCTGTCACTGTAAGGAGGTCCAGTGAAGTCTCTCCAGTGGCAAAGGAAAACTCTACTCAGAACTTTCAGACCCTTGCCCATACCACAGAAAAGAATGAAAGAATGTCTTGGGGTTTAGCAAAGAGAGGAAGAGTATGATTAGAAAGTGAAAAGTGAATATAGGAGAATAATGTGGGCCATCTCAAGAGCAAGAAGAGACACACCACCAGGAATTAAGGTCAGGTTATTTTATAGTGTACAAAGATAGAATATATGATCCAAGTGGATAGGACTTTCCTGGAGACTGGGAAATATTGATTTTTTCCTGTTAGGAAATCTAGTCTGCTATGTTGTTTTCAGCTGATACTTGATCAGGTGTTTGATCCAATCAAATGTTAGCCCCTAGTTTCATGAGGTTAGTAGTGTCTTTCTTTTGAAATCTTGTTCCTGCTTTGCTGAATTCCAGAAATTTTATATGGAATTGGAAACTTATAAAGTAATTTATGGGATTGGTGCATATTTACCTTTGGTCTCTTCCTTTCCCTTAAGTTTCTTTGTCCAGGTCAGGAGCAGTTCACAAATTTTTGTTCCACATCCCAACAGGCACTTTTCTCCTTTAGAAACTTTTTTTTTGGTAGTATCCCAAATTTCTATCTCATTCCCAAGGCCCATCCTCCACTCCAAGATCTATTCTCAGATTGGATGATTTTCTACAGCCATTATCTAGAAGGGCTCACAAAACCAAGAAAAACAACTCTGTTTACTATCCAATTTATTATAAAAGATCTTGTAGAAAATACACTGAATAGCCAGATAAACATGTACACAGTGAGGCCCAAAAAAGCCTCAAGCACAGGAATATCTGTCCCATGGTAGAGTTTGAGAGGCACACCACAACACATGGATGCATTGTTGTTCATCAAGTCAGAAGTTCCCTCAACATTTTTTATGGGTATTTCATTATTTCATTAAGATTTATTAAATCATTTACTGCTGGAAATTAATTAACTCAACATTGAGCTCTATTTCCTCCCCTCTTTCAACTTTCTACTCTAAATTTGTTCTTTTGGCAACCTGACCCCATCCTGAGGTGATCCAAGGGCTTTCTAAAAGTTATCTTATTAACATAAACTCAGATTGCTGAAAGGGGCTGGTTATTAATAACAACAGACTCTCCTTTTGAAGTCAGATTTAAAAATAGGTAGTTAGTGTAGTTAGGTAAATTGGTCTAATATCAAGAATGAAGGCCATATTGAGAATGGAGCCCCAGGAAAGCAGAGAAGCACTTGGGGAAATTGAAATGTTAATGTTCCCAAGGCCCAGAGCCCATTCTAAAGAAATGTTAATGAAGAAGCTTGCAGCATACTGGGAGGCGCTAATCAAAAGCTGCCCCAGGCCCTTCCTGCCCAGATTACTCCTCTGGCCCATCTGCCCCTCACCTTCTAGGTCTTCCCACCTACATTCTATCACTGCAAGATAACAAAGGACAAGAATGTGGGAAAACTAAAAGAAGACCTTAGCTATAAAAGAGGGAAGACCTCCCCTTTCCATGGATTCCACCTCTTGGGTCCCCTTCTTCCTCCAGGAGAATATCTTTTCTGCTCCCCTTAATAAAGCTTCTACTTTCCACTCTAAACTTGCCTTGGCATGCTTCTCTAGTGTTAAACTTCAGCACTGGGGAAGTAAGGACTCTTCACCAGTAAACAGTGATAACACTTTCATCTCTATCAGGAAATTCCAAGGATTTTAGGAGCTGTTTTCAGGGATCTGGGAGAGAAACCACTTTTCAGGAACCTAGGATACAGACTAAAAATATAGATAAAGATATTAATATAGACATTTCTTACTATGTCACCAAAAGGTGAGCCTTCTGCACACCATTGGAAGATGCATATAAAAGGAAAAACGGTCCAGTATGGTGGCCCATGCCTGTAATCCCAGCAGTTTAGGAGGCTGAGGCAGGAATATCACAAGTTCAAACCAGTCTCACAAATTAACCAGGCCCTAACAATGTAGGAAAAGACTGTCTCAAATTTTTAAAAGGGTGGAGGGAGGGGAGTTGTGTGCTGGTGTTCTAGCTCACTGGTGGAGCAAGTGTGAGGAACTGGCTTTGATCCTCAGCACCATATTAAAAAATAACTAAATAAAGGTATTGTGTCCATCCACAACTAAAGAAAAATATTTTTTTAAAAAAATAGGTTGGGAATGTTTCTCAGTAAGCACAACTGGATTCAATCCCTGGTACAGGAAAGAAGGAAGGAAGGAAGGAAAGAAAGAAAGAAAGAAACAGAACTACCTTGCCTTGCAGTGGCTCCTCCAGTGCATTGTACCAATAGTCTCACATTGTGTCAGAATGCAAAGAAGTGTTCACAAGGTCCAGTTACAATAACACAAAGAAGACCAACATGGAGTGGATTTGGAAAAGAAATGTAATGAAATGATACTGGACTCTGTACACACCTTTGACTTTATACTTTATGTATGCATACATGTTACACCATTTTACAACCATTTGAACTTCCATAAAACAACAAATCTATCATGACAAAGCCCCTGAAAATGAAGAGGTTTTCATCTGTTCCCCAACATAAGAAGCACTCCCAGTCACTGTACACTACACTGCTATAGTATTTACTCTTCAAATTCACTCAGTCCCATTGACTATACTGTTACCTAAAGATAACAATTTGTATATAAAATTATGAATATAAGAAGAGAGAGGAAGCAAATGGTCAATACATAAAAATACACACATATACACCCCAAGCAAAGAGAAAATATACAAAGCTATTACAATCCTTGTTTATAGATGGACAGTGTAATTATATGTACTTTCTATCTTCCAATTCCCAAACTTTATTGTCTCTCCCCAAGTCAGAACAACTGGTCTCATCTGTAGCTCACTGTTGGAGCAAGTATGAGGAACTGGCTTTGATCCTCAGTACCACATTAAAAAATAACTAAATAAAGGTATTGTGTCCAGAAAGCTATTGAATTATGGAAAAATGGGTATATTCCATTCATCCCAGAATAGGAAGCAGATAACATAGAATGTTGTACTCTTTCTTCTCTTAAAACTCCATCATTTATTGTACTTTAGAACTGAAATATCCTCCAAAGGCTCACATGTTAAAATCTTAGTCCCCAGCTGGTGGCCTTTTGGGGAAGTGGTAGGAACCTCAGTAGGTGGGGACTAGGAAACAGGAAGGAAGTAGATAACTTGGATGTGTCCTTGAAGACTATGTCTTGGCCCCTTATCTATCTATCTATCTATCTATCTATCTATCTATCTATCTATCTCTCCCTCCCTACCTCCCTTCCTGCCTCCCTCCACCCCCCTTTCCCTCTGTCTTCCTTTCTTGCTTTCTGCCTGCTGTGAGGTGAGCCACTTGCTCCACCACCTGCTCCCTGTCATGAAATTACATTCTCCCTCAAAAACAATGGAGCCAGGTGACTATGGACTGAAACCTCTAAAACTGTGAGGAAAATAAATCTGTCCTCCTTTAGGTTGATTTTCTCAGTATTTTGTCACAGAGACAAAAAGGTGACTAACATACCTATCAATTTCCCTGGAAATTTTTAGATAATGACTGTCATCTGATAGTCTAAATCTGCAAAAATAGAACTGGGGATCATTCTCAACCTCAAAGTTCCTCTACACACTTGCAAGTGCAGTAACATGATCTCCCCTCTGTTTGAATTTGTTTTGTTTTGTTTTGTTTTTGGAAACAGGGTACCACTATGTTCCCCAGCTGGTCTCAAACTTTTGGGATAAATTGATCCTCGTGCCTTAACCTCCCCAGTAGATGGGATTACAGGTATGTACTGCCACAGCTGCTTGAAATAACTTTTAATACCAAAAAATAGGGCTCCTCAGTTAAATTGCATATTCTCTAAACCAGTTACAAAACAGCCAAATTTTATCTTCTGCTATCTGAATATAAGATATGAACTGAACTCTCATAACCACACATGTGAAGTCTGAACAGAGAGCAGAAGGACAAGCCCACTGAACAGTCCAAGTCTCATCTCATGAGCTTTTGCGACCAGGAGTCTGTCGCCCCAGGAAGAGCCACAGTGAGGGATCACAGACAGCAAGGCACTCTATGTGGACAAAACCTGGAAGTGTTAGGGAAGTAACAGAGATTCAGCCTCTGGGGGAGCACAATTAACACCACAACCTGAGCTGAACCCCTCCATTGGGGTACTCAGGATTTCCTCCAAAGGGGAAAAATTGTTAAGGGGTACAGGGAGCCCCTCAGACCCACTTGCCATGGAGCAGATGGTCATGGACACACCTCCATACCTAAGCATGAAGTATGGAAAGAGAGCTCCAGAGAAGGAGATGGGAGGGAAAGAAAAAATGTGGGACCCATCAATCATGTTATAGAAGGAGACATCCCCTTCACTGTAGTCCAGGAAAACCCCCACCCTGCAGGGATCCTGCCTAGGAGATAAACAAGTCTCAGGATCAGTTTGGGCAAAATACTTATTGTTACCTTTCCCCATGACCCAAAACCCCCTTTGTGATGATTCCAGGTAGTTGCCTGTTCTCCTCACATCTTTCCTGCAGACTCCCAGAGTCCACTTGCTGAAGAGTTCATTCTCTATCTCCACTTCCCAGAACCATCTTCCTGATGTGATGCCCTTAAGACCCAACACACTGCATTTTTCATCACAGTACAACAGGCTGGGGTCCTTCCAGGACAGATGCATCTTTTCATGAGAGATAGAAAGCCAGTGATGAGCAGACAATGGATCCAGAGTGACAGACCCTGTTGAGAGAGTTATCAATCATGCAAGGTCCTCCCTGCCCCAAAACAAAGCACACAGCCACCCACCACCTCACAGCCACAGAGCTGCCTGAGCTGAGGAGGGGATAAGCCTCCTGAGATACCAGTCTTGTAACTCAAGCCCACGTCCTCAACGAGGAGAAGGAGCCAGAGATTGATTTGGGGGGTAGACTTGTGACAGGTCCCTTAAGAACCAGTACCAGTGTTGTGACTATCACTTCTGCCACAGCATCACCATTGGTGATGCCAGCATCTGAATCACCACAGAGAACTTAAGGAGAAGCCAGAAGCCATGAGGGCAACAGGAGGAACATCTAGAAGCGCACAGTCACTCACAGGCTTGGAACTGTTCCTTCCGCCAATCTACGAGAGAACATACATCTGATATCAAGGATTTGCAGAGTCTGTACACATCAAGGTCAGCACCCAGTCTTATGAAACAGCAATGTGGGAGGAAGAAGGGAAAAGCTGTGTGAAAACATTCACGTGCTGTATTTATCTCTTACACACACACACACACACACACACACACACACACCACTCAAACATCCTGCTGCAGCATTCCCATGAGGACTAAGCCAAAAAGCTTAACACCCCAGGATCAAAATGCTGGATATCAATCTGAAAGGTCACTGTTCAGATTTAGCTACCAAATAATACTTTCTCAAGACACAGACACATAACCATCCGGACAACTGGGTTATCTTGATATAGAATTGAGGTTATCAAAATTTCCAAGACCTCCATTTACTTATAAAGAACTGACTGTGCTGCACTTGTAAGGTACCTCTAAGCCATGAGTTGAGAATTACATCTAGCTTAGCTAAACTTGGAGGATGACTATAAATCATGAGTGCAGGGAACTCAGAGAAATTTTGCCCAGTTAGGAGGCAATGGATAGTGTTTTAGGATGGGAGAGAAAGAAGTTCAAAGCAGGAAACAAATATATCCAGTGAGAGGTTAACACTAGTGACTTTTCTTCAACTTTTCACAGAACAATAGGAGAAAAACACATATGGGAGAACCCAAAAAATATCGGATCTAGTCATTTGTCTCCCACAAGAATTGCCTAAAGAGTTTTAAAACTTCCAGCTATGATAGAACCCATAGTCCTAAACTCCAGAGTGTGTGAATAGGTTAAATACATAGGCAACTTTACAAAGGTGATTAAGATTCAGGTTCTTGAGCAGAGGAGGTTATTCTGGATTGTCTGGATGAGTCCAAACCATCACATGAACCCTTGTAAACACAGACCTTTCTTGGGTGTGGTCAGAGAAGCAGATAGAATCACATAAACAAGGTCAAAACCATGCTGTGCTGCTGGCTTTGAAGATGGAAGAACAGGCCCCCAAATGAGGGAATACAGATGGCCTCTAGAAACCACACAAGACAACAGCCTCCACAAAGGAACACAGCCTTGTTCATACCTTCTTGGACTTCTGACCTACAAATATTTAAAATAACATATTTATGTTGGCTGAAGCTACTAATTTTGTACTAACATGGCAGCAAATAGAAAGCTAATATGCCCACTTAGGTGACACACCCCATGTGGAAAAAAGCACTGGCAGAGAAATGTGCTGGCAGAAAACATGAATCTCTGTGTCTCCTGCACTCGGGAAGCTGAGGACCCAGAAAGTCTCACATGCTCTGCTGGATGGTGAAAAGGTAGGTTCCCAGTGAGTCAGTGAACCAGAGAAAGTCTGAAGGTTAAAGGAAAAAACCCAATGGCTACTAGGAATAAGTGACACAGACTTTGGACTTTACCTCAGGGTCCGGGAAGGGTGACCAAGCAATGAGATGAGACCTGCCTTTACTCAGGAGACACCAAACCAAGGGTCTTATGAACCAGTTCAGACTAGCCTCCTGATGTTCACCTGAAATAACTAAGAGAAAACCCATGGTCCCTCTTCCCCCACTGCTCCAAAGCCACATAAGTCTCCTCCAACCTCCATACTCCATTTTCGGAACAGGATAGGAAGGTCATTAACCAAAATTTTTTCTTTCTTAAAGATTTGTGTTTAAATTTGTGCCCCATATTTCCACTAATACAGGTTCAATCATATACATTGGTATTTCCATCTTTGTGGAGTTGCTTAATAGAAACTAGATCATATAAAATGTCTGAGCAGACCCAGATGATCCTTGAAGAAAAGTAAGTTTTGCTCATTTTTCACCAAGATATTAGATAAAATCCAATTATAATTTTCTATATAATACCTGACTGAGAATATCAAAAAAAAAAAAAGAAGAAGAAAATGGAGGAGAAGGAAGCAGATGGGGGAGAAAAGAAGGAATGAAAGAGAAAAACCTTTTGAGACTTTCCAGTGTGTCAAGTGCCATGCTATGCACTTTAATGCAGCCTTCATATAATTCCCACTGAAAATTTGAATATATAGCTCATTGTTACAATTTCATGAACAAGATGAGATAGACATTTGTCCACCTCACACTATGGACCTCTCAATATGACAGTGTTGATTCTAGTAGAGTTATGGTGTTTATTCTTACAAAATAAAAGAGTATGCAATTTATACATGAAAACATATAGATATTAATTCAGTAGAGAATGGGGAGATGGTAAAAATAAAGACAATTTGATTCTTCTTTTTTAATAAAAATGTCCCCAGGAAAATCATTAAGATTCTCAAAGAATGTTCCTCAAACATCTGAATCCAAAGCCTCTTGATGCCATGGCTCACCTTCCTCTGTCACTCACAGTCTATATCCCTGATGTGAAAAAGAAACATCCAGAGTAGGAAAAGGGCATATTGTACAAATTCAGATGGCACAGGTCCTAAACTCACCCCCAGAGTTAAAGAGTCCTCTGGATAATTTCTCATTGAATTGGAAACTGCCTTAGCATATGCCTTTCCTAACTACTACTGGAAGGTTCAGGTGGTCTCATTATCACAAGCAAACTCAATGAGATGATTACTTAGAAATAGATTAATGGAATTCACACACACACACACACACACACACACACACACACAATGTATTAACTGAAAACTCTCAAAGATGTATCAAGGAATTGATTACATTTCAGGCACACAAAGAACCTGCAAATCCTCTTCACACTCAACTCAAACCACCTTGGATGTAATCTTCCAGCTCTCACTGCTTCAGCACAACCAAAATGTCTATGTGAATCTTGGGCACTCTACTTTCCTTTTGACTTCCTCTCTCCTCCTACCTCATCCTTTCTTCTCTGGTTTGTTCTCTACCCTTTCTTGGGTAAATAATATTAAACTCTCCAGGTTTCTCCTTTTATGATCTTCACACATTTTAAAAACAACAACAACAACAAAGACCAAGCCCAACAGGCAAAGCAAAATTCTCTTAAAATCAGAGAAAAGTGTTGTGATCAATATAAATTGCATTGTGTTCCTGTAACACAAACACAAACACAGACTTTGCATATAATTTCAAGTGGTTCTCAGATCACCTAGCATCCTGGACCCCAAATTCTGAACACCAGAAACTCATTTCTCAGCAACCTAGATGCTTAGAAGAAACCAAACTAGGACAGTGAGTCAGAGTAGGAGGTGGCTGAGAGAAGACCAATATCCAGAGGACCATGAAGAAACAAGAAAACCAAACATGGACCCAAACGATAAAAATCCAGGGTAAAGGGAATAGAGAATCAAGGCCCCACATTAGGAAGATGTAAGTCCTAAGCTGTCAAATATGATTTCTGAAATTTCATGGAGACCAGCAATTCCTATCCACAGTTCCAACCTGCTCCATCCAGGCTCTGCCCACAACTGAACTCTCCAGTGTCACTGCACCAACAACAAATACCAGTCAAACACAATGTTTTCAGAGGGTGCATTTAACCCTAACCTGCAGGGGAGGATAAGCCTAGAACAGGTTCACTCCTCACACCACAACATGAAAAAACAAAATTAAAATTAAATAAGACATTAGGGAAATTACCAAAAATGAAGAATAATTTAGGGCTGAAGTTGTGGCTCAGAAGTAGAGTGCTCCCCTACCTGCGTGAGGCACTAGGTTCAATTCTCAGCACCACATAAAAATAAAATAAAGGTATTGAGTCCACCTACAACTAAAAAAAAATTTTTTTAATGAAGAATGATTAAAAGACAGGAATGTGATATGAGTTCTGTGATCCAATCCAGGGAGAAGTCCCTGTGGTCTTCCAATGCAATTATCTTTTACAATTATCTTTTCTCCTTTTAGGAGAATTTTGCTTTCCTATTGTACTTGGCTTTGGTTAGATTGGACATGGGGCAGATTAATGTGTAAGGATTATAGGGAAAAAAAAAACAAGAGAAGTTAATAGTATTTACTGGGAAGGTGAAAAACAAATTAGACAAGAGAGCAGGAAACCTAATCCCATCCTGGGTAGAGGCCACTGACACAGAAGGGCAGAGGAGGATCCTGGAGGAGGGAAGGCCAAGGACACATCAGAGTCACTTACCTGCATACAGGGGGGCCTTCCTCCAGGCTGAAAGGGAACACACAGTGGTGAGACCACAGCTAAAACAAGCCTGCTCAGCATGAATGTACCTGCCCTGGCCTCCTCTCCATTCTAAAGATGGGACTACCCACAGGAGGAGAGAGCCAGAAAGTAGATGGGCTCTTGCAGTATCAGAGTCCACAGGGTATTGTGGGAAATCCCCTGGACCACAGATCAAGACGGCTGCTTTACAGGCCAACTACTACCACTGTCCCACTGCTTTCTCTCTGTCAGAAAACTGTCTGCCTCAAAACTCATAAAAATCCATATTCTATCTGTCTTTATTCAGTTTTGCCACTAAGGATCAAAATTACACTATGTGTGAAAATATTTGAGAGAATAAATATAATTCATTCCACAATTGTGAGGGGTATTATTATATCCAGGCTTTCTCAAGAAAAGATACATTTGAGGAAGGGGTGGGGATGTACATCATGGTAGAGGGATGGCCTAGCATGCACGAGGTTCCAGGTTCATGCCTCCGCACCACAAAATGAAAAAATAAAATTAAAAAAGACACTTGGGAAATTGCCAAAAATGAAGAATGATTTAAAGACAGGAATAAGTTCTTCAGTAAAACTGCCCAACTTTTCACATGTGAAATATTTCCAGAGAATAAGAACCACTTTTTAGGAAGTACTTGGTTCACTCCATCACTTTCCCACCTGTGGTGAGCAGCCTTCTTGGATTAGCACCTTCGGGAGCTGGAGAAAACATAATCCCTCACTGATGATTTGTTGGGAGATGAACAGAAGGCCATACTCCTAAACTTAATGACTCCATTTACTTATATAGATCATTTAATGATCTTAATATCTGCCTTTAATATTCTAGATGCAATCCAACTGCTAGATGCATTGAAGACTGATATATATATATATGGCAATCCAGGGTTGAAATAAGATGCAGAATACATGACAGACCACAGGTCACCATCAAACTCAGGTTTCCACACGCTAGATAGGAAATAGTAGACCAGATCAAGGAAAGGCCAGGGACCAGTGTACTGGCATCCACTAGCTTCCCAGGGATAAGGCCCCACATGTCTGTGCCTAGACAGAAACAAGGAGAAGGGACACCATAACACAGGTTGGATAAGGAAACAAGGAATACATGGAGGGAGAGTCACTTACCAGAGAGATAAGCAGCTTTCCTCTGATCTGAAAAACAACAAGAAATAGGGGAGCTAGGAACTAGAACATCTGCTACCAAGGAAACAGAAAATTCAGAAGGGAAAGCAGAACTTACTGAGATCTGCCTTGAGTTCATCTGAAAGAAAATGAAAAACAGTGTGAACGCCCATCCCCAAGAAAAGGAAAGACTGAGTGCCTGAAAAACCTAAGGAAAACATTTCTGTTCACTAGAATTTCTAACTACAAACCCACTCAACCCCACCAGTCTCTAGCTGTCCTCTCTGATCTCCTCAGTCACCTCCTCTGAGTCCAGGACCCTGGATCTCCCTAGAGAGCTGGACTCGGACTCTGGCCCCCGTCAGCTGTCCCACTCACCACCAGGTTTGCACTTGCCCTTTGTGGTCTTACCGATGGCCTTCAGCACCTCTTCCTTTGCCTGCTGTTCCTGCTTCTTAAGCCGCTGCTGATGCTCCTTTTCCTGCCTCACCTGCATCCTTCTGGAATGTGCTTTTCTGATAAAATAGCAAGCCCCCAAGAGTAGGAGCCCGAGCATGGTCAGGATCACAGCAAATGCTGGCTTCCAGGGAGAAGCCTGAGGGAAGAAGGGCTCTGTGGCCCAGGCAGACAGCAGGTCAGGGGCACACCCAGGAGAGCCAGCACACTCAGAGAGGCCAGCCCCTCCCCACAGCTCTGCTGGGAGTGGGAAGCAGCACTGACCTGGGATGTAAATAGCCATGGCCTTCTCCTGGCCCAGGACAGGGTTGAGGACAGAGCAGGTCACATTCCCCACAGAACTGTCTCTCACCACCAGAGTGGCCTCCACACTAAACAGCTCCTCAGTGTCTTGGGAGTGGGTTTCAGAAAGCGCTGGGAACTTGTTTCCACTGAGGTCTCTCCACTGCACCTGGGGCTTTGGGAACCATCCTGAGGCTTTGCACACCAAGCGCACTCCATCCTCTTCTGGCCCTTCTATGTGCACTTGGGGGTCAGAGCCCATACCTGTGGGAAGGAAGCTGTGTAGCCCCAGGAGGCCACCTTGGGCTCTGAGACCCCAGAGTTGCCAAGACATTACATAACTTCAGGGGGAAGGTTTTCATGTTCAATTCTGGGAATTCTACGGAAAGACAGAATAAATGGAAGGAGCACAGGGACCCACACAGGGCAGTAGGCTCTTGTCCCCAGCTGTGATGCCCAAAGAAAAAAACAGGAAGAATTTTGTCCCAGGGCTCCCTCCTTGGATCTCAGTCTTCTCACCTCACACACTCTCCTGGGACATCACCCTCTCTGTGTATATCATGTCCAAAATCGTATTCAGTGACCACCTTGACTCCTGAATTATCTTACCCTCCACCCATGTCCCTATGAGTTATCTTTACCAGGTTTCCTCACATACACTTCAAACTCAAATTCAGAACTGAATTCATTAATTTGCACCACTTGTGATAAAATGATTATTAAAATAATCCAATACTTCACCCTTCTTTATAGTCAGTTCTAGAAATTCCACTTAATTTTTTACTGCCTTTACCTTCTGCCCCTGGGCCCAGTAATGGATTCAATTTGGCAATGAAAAATTAGCAAAAATGACTAATGAACCATGGTTTATTCCCTCTGCCATTTCCACAGGAGGACAATCCTGGTCTACCCAGTTGAGGATGGACTCATGTAACATTGCCTGGTCAACCTGCTACTGCTGCCCTAGGTCAGCCACATGACCACCTGAAACATCAGCACACCCAACCAAGGTGCACCTGGTGAACTTTTCTGCTAACTTAAGAACAAATAAAAATTACAAGTAAAAAGCTTAATTCTCCCTGTTAATAAAATAAGATTCTCTTCCTTTTTCTTATACCATTTGCTTTAGGAAATTGCAATTACAAATAGATACTTCCTTCTCTTTTGAAATTTTTATACATGATTTTGAAAACTAGTTAGGTTTTTTGCCAGCTTTGTGGCTCAGGAATGACTTTCTCAAGAACCTGGGAACCATTTCTTTGAAATGTAAACATCAGGGAAGATAGCAACCCTTTGCCCCCTTTTCTGAGGAAAGGTAGGAGCCTAACTTATGTGGGCATCTTGATCCAAGTTGTAAAACTGCTTCCTGTCATAAAGCTGGAGGAGTTCGTTTTGCTTCCAGATAAAGCCTAATAGATTACACAGATGATCTCCCAAACTACCATGTAAATTTAGGATGAGTTATGTGGAACAATAGTTCTTTGAGCCCTCTTAATTGAGGATTAGTTATTCTTCGTTTTCAAAATAAGTATACAGGAGATTATATATGCTTCGCTCTAAAAACAAAGATGAAATTCCTTTCAAGTTGTGTGATCCGTTCACAGATCACCATAATATGTATCACAATCTGGTTTGTTGCTTATTCAGTAATAAAAGTGTTTTCTCCTAGCATGGAAGATTTTGTTTTTAATTCTATTTCTGAAACATGACCAAAGATGTATGAGTAAACCCAGGTGAGATTAGCCAAGTTCAGCCCCAATTAGTTGAACTCCCTTAGTGCCTGAATTAAATACATTTTTATTGCCAAATCACCTGAGATTGTGGCTGTTTGTTACACAGCATTATTACAGCAGTAGAACTGACACATAATTATCAATAGTCCTGCCATGAAACAACAATGGTTCAAATAAAACACTGGAAGTCTCTGAACACTTCTCTTCCCCTTCCAAACTTTGTGCCCACAAATCTGTTTAGTTGAATCTGGTTTCTAAACCTGTCTGACTCCTCCTCTCCCACCCCACTACCATGCCTCAGGTCAGGCAATCATTCTCTCCACATCACAAATGCACTCCAAGCCTCCTTCTTGCTCACCTCCCATTCATCCATTCAAACTGCCAACATGAGCATTCCCAGCTTGGCTCTGTTTAGGATTCCCCCTACTCTGCATCCAAACTCCATAACACAGCACAGAAAGCCTTTACTGATCCAGTAACTGTCTTCCTCTCTGAACACTTGTCCCCAAACTCCACCATCTGAGATCCTCAGAGCCCTTACACTCAACCCCAAGAACTATTTAGTCAAATGCAAGTAGCCACAATCACCATATTGTATGTCCTCTGCTGTTTTACATTCCAGCCCATCAACATCCAGGGCTCTTGTGCCAGCCCAGGTGTCTACTCCTAATGACCTCATCCTGACACCTGAGAGTGGTGTTAATACAGGACCATCTCTTTATTCCAGTATTGCCACTTCTTACCATCCTCTCTTCACTCCTCCTACCAACCATGATGGCCTCATTATACCCAGAATAATCAACCAAACTCCTACTTCAAAGGTTTCATAGCAGGTGCTCCCTCTGCATTAAACTCTGGCCCCACAGATATCCACCTGGCTAAATACCTACTTCCTTTGAGCCTTGTTTAGACTGTCAATAAGACTCTGCCCAATTCCCTATGTAACACTATGGATTGTCCTAAATTCTCAGCCCACATCCTGAGCCCCTTTCTTAAATCTACTTGGTCTTTTGTCTTAAGTACTTATCATCTTATGCCATCTTGTACTGAATTATTTCTTATAATTTTTCTTCCTTTGTCTCTAGAATGTAAACTCCTCATGGCTGGGATCTCTATTACACTGATATATCTCTGGTGCACAGGACAAGTCCCAAAATATTTTAGATGCTCCCTATACAGTGTTTGTATTGAATCAATTAATAAAAGATGAGCCACTTTTTTCTCCACTTCACCTATAAAATGTTAGGTTAAATTAGATGATCCTTGATATTCCCATCAAACCCAATATTCCCAAGGTCTCCAGAATAGACATCAAGTAACTAACCTGCCACCTTCACTTCCAAATCAGCCTCTTCATAGAAGCCTCCATGTCTGAAGAAGCAGGTGTACATTCCATTGTCAGAAACCCGGACCTGGCGGAGGTGCATGGCAGCATGCCCCTCAGTAAGGCAGCCCCTCACCAATGAAGTCCGCCCTCTGTACTCAGCCATCTGCTCCTCAGTCTGTTCCCAATGGTTCCAGTAGATGAACACTGTTTGTGAGAATGTGGTGCGGAACCACCCAAGTTCCATGTTCTCTGCATTCATGGCTGGAACTAGGGTGCAGGGAAGTATGACATCCTCACCCAGCACTGCCAAAATGGGGTGTCGAGGGCCAATGACCTGGAATTGCTCTGTGGGCACAGACATAGTGGGGAGAAAGCTAGAGAGACACAGACCAAAAAACGAGAACATACAACATCAGGTGGGAAGGCCAGGAAAGCCGGGGCAGGGGCCACATGAGATGACCCTAGAAGTCTGATGGATTTGGAAGAGGTCTTCTGATCATTATCATGTGGCCAGAAATAATGCCAAAGACACTCCCTCATTGTCTTCTGCTCCTGGTCCCAGGCCATCCCATGAAGAAATCTCTAATTCAGTGATTCTCAAACTTTCATGCACCAGAACCATAAGGCTGCCTTATAGAGCACACATCACTGGACTCCACTCCAGAGTGTCTCATCCACTAGATCTGGGGTGGGGGGCGGGCAATGAATGTGCATTTGCAAGGAGTTCCAAGGGTGGTCTGAGGAGCACACATTGGGACCTGGGAACCCCAGGTCTAACAAACCCCTGTCTCAGGACAAACATGAAAACTGACAAAGAGCTCACATGCGGCCTGGGTCAGCACTCTTTGGTCATTCAGTCACACCCAGGAAATTCCCCTCTTCCTATTCTAAATTATTTACTTCAGTCTATATTTTTCTCCTCCACTGAGGGAGGAGAGAAATACATATGCACTTTAAAACACAGAGTCAAATGCTACTTACTGCTATGAAAATCCTGCTCTCATAATTCACGGAAACCCCCATCAATGCATGTTCAAGAAGCAGTTCACCTCACTCTCCACTCTTGGGGCTCTTGGGCTTCTGAGGCTACCACATGACTCCTCTGCAGGACACGCTGCAATGGGCCTCCAAAGAGCTACTCTCAAATCCTGTACCTCTCCACTCTGGTCTCGGCCACCATTAAATCTCAACTGGAGAATGACTAGGATTCCTGACCTCAGTGATCCTTTTAACACGTGAGCTGATCCATGCTGCTGCTCTGCTCAAAGCCTCCACGTGGCTCCCCACTTCTCCCCAGGCCTGTCTAGTTTGACCCTCCTTCCCAAGACCCTTCTGAACTCACCTGCTGCTTCTCTCTCCATGGGCTCTAGTCCAGCAACACTGGCCTCTGAGCTTCCTCACACCTCAGCACACTGCCAGCTCTGTACAGGCTCCTCCCCCTGCAGGAACCCTCCTTCCAAATGGTCCTACAGCTCACTTCTCCTTCTCCAGGGTTATGTTCCCATCTATACACCACCTCACTGAACAGTGCTGCCTGCCCACACCTGCCTCCCATGCCCCGGACTGTCCACACCCTGCCCTGCTGCATTTCCCATAGTTTTCCAACACTCTTAGGCCTCTCTGCCTAGTTGCAGTTATTACTCACTCTCTCCTGCTAGAAGACAAACTGTATGACAGAATTTGTGTCTGATTCTTTCATAGAATAGCACCTACCAATCAACATTTCATTAATATTTCAGGAATAAAATGAATGAATGAAAGCTCGCAGCACCAAAAAAAAAAAAAAAGCCAAGAAAACAAAAAAAAAAATGAGGAAAATGTATTTTCAAATGTTTTTATATCTTGATTTTTAAAACCACAAAGGAAAACAGATGGGGACACTCACCTGTGGACAGCTGGACAAGGAGAAGCAGGGAAGCAAGACAGCAGAGCAAGGAGCGACTGCAGTGCCCTTCCATATCTTTAGAGCTGGGGAGAGAGATGGGGGATGAGGGCCAAGACCTGCAGGCAGGAGGCAGGTCCATCCCAGAGCTCCAGCACCTCAGCATAGAGAACATGGCTCAGGGCTGGACAGCAGTCCCCTGCTGGAGCAAAGCATTTCCTATTGGTTCATCATACTAACAGGGTGGTGGGCCCCCCACTACCCTGACACTATCAAATAGCTGAGCCTGGGCTCCTTCCAGCTCTTGTGGGAAGACTATGGTATCAGGAAACCATAGAATTACCTGGTAAGAAACTGTTCCTATTAGTACAAGCATGAGTGTTCACATGTGTACACACACACACACACACATACACACACACACACACACACAGAGAGAGAGAGAGAGAGAGAGAGAGAGAGAGAAAGGGGTAGAAACTTAAATAAATGCAGGTATGGATGCATATAGGTGAGTCAGCCTACCACATGTTTCTAGCTTGGAAAAACAAGTAGTTCCAGAAAAAATGACACTCTAGTAGCCACAAGCATACGGAGCATTAATGTATTTGTTTTTAAATATCCTTTTCCAATTAAAAAAATACTGGGATCTCTGAAAAACAGTCTGATGATAGGACTGAAGCAAGATAAACATAAATTACATTTGGAGCATATCATAGTAGCAGATTGGGAGAAAGTGCTCAGACATATAGTTAAGCAAATACCAAAGGTGGGGGGGGGGGGGGGGGGGGGGGGGGTTGAAAATCAAAGAAAAGGAAGAAAAAGAGAATGGGACCTAGTCACTAGGAAAGACTCACCAACCAGAAAGAGCTTCTAATAGCCAAGGCTTGAGCCATCAAATAAAAAAGCCATAATAAAAAGAATAAAATTACTAAGAAAATACTTTTTATATTTTATTTGGATTATAGTTCCTCAAATAAAATCTGAGTTTGTATTATTATAAATAAATGGATAATTAAATTAATGGGAGCATTTTTTTCTTTACACAAGACTTCTAATAAGGAGAATGAAAACCCACCAGTTCAATATTTAGAAAAAAATTACTGCAGGAAAGATCAATGAAGAAATGCAAAAGGAGGAGCAACTTCAAAGAAAAACAGGATATTAAAAAAAAGAAAAGAAAGAAAGAAACCGTTCCTTCCTTTCCCACCCCAACCACAGCTTACTTGACCCAGAACACCAGGCTCTTTCTCTATATATACCTGGAGCTCTGTGGTGGAAGGCATTCCTCTATCTCTCTGTTATTCACATACCACTCATGACCCCCCAGAAAGGAGGGCCCAGACCCAGGGTTCCCATTATGAAAATCATGCAAACTCCTGCTTGCCTCTTCTCCTGCCCCATAATTATGCCCAGGTTTGGCCTGGGCAGTGTCAGAGACAGACATGCCCTCAAGGAGGCTGTGGTGCCCATCACAGGAGCCCAGAACCCTGTCCTGCTTTCTTAGATGTGGAGTTCCCCTAAACCTGAATCTCAGCCCAGTCCCTTCCACTGTGGGCTCAGATATGGCGCTTCATTTAGAAGGTGCCAAGCACTTCCCCCACCAACAGGTTTGTCCTTGCCTTCTTTTTCTTTGAGAGGTTAGGGACCCTTCCTGAGAGGTTAGGGACCCTTCCTGGAGACAAAGCATAGAGATAATGAGCCCTGGTCAGAGAAAAGACCCCAAATCACCTACAATTTGGAAGGACCAGGGAGAAGACAGTCTGTGGTATTGGGAAGAACAAATTCTGGGAGCCGACTTCAAGGCTGCCCTCCAGGCTCAGCCACTCTCACCGTGACCTTCTTGGCCTCAGTTTCCTTGACTGTCTGATGGACATAGTCACAACATCTACCTCCCAAGTTTGTAATGAAAATGACGTGATTTATAGTCACTACATGTAATTAAAACAGGGCCTGGTCCAAGAAAATGTTAAAGAAATGTCATTATAGCAAATGAATAAAGGAACAACCCTCATTAAGCTTCTCCTGGGTCTTCCTAGAACAAGACTGTTCCACCTACTCCCCGACACTGCCTCTCACACCACCTCATCCTCTGCTCCTTCCTGCCACCAGCTTCTCCCTAGATTCCTCCTCTTAGGTCACAGGTGTCTTCAAAGCCAACTTACCTTCTTCTCTGTTCTCCCACCTATGAAAGGCTGTGACTTCCTGGAGCATCTCTAAACACAGAGCTGGAGAAATTTCAGAGTCAAAAGGACCCCAGAAGACCACAAATAATGCCCTCAGAATTTACACCTGCCCCAAGCTGCTCACATAACCCAGTCCTCTGCCTCTGAGTCCAATGCTGGGGCCACAAATTCCTCATCTCCTAGAGGCAGTTGGTTCCCAGGAAAGGGACAAAGCAGAGCCGGACATAAGTTGCAGTGATCTCTGCAGAGTCTCTGACACCGGGGTCCCCACTAAGCCCTCCCAGTCAGAGGAGCAACCACTCACTCACTCCTTTCCACCATCTAAAGCGAAAGCTTGCAAAAGGAGCCTGGGCAGAGTGTACCCTGCCCTCTGGACATTGCTCCCTTTACCAGGAAGAAGGAAGCAGAGTAGAGCAGCAAAAAGAGGGTGCCCACCATTTTCCTGGAACACTGCAGAACAAGCTCAGAATGCCACCACCAATCCCTGCCCAAAGGTCAGACTCCCTAAAACCTAGAGATGTTAGGGACATGTTACAAAAAGAAGAAAACAAAATTATACTGAATCCCTATCAAGAATTGTGCTACATAAATTTTACTAATGCCATCTCATTATCACAACTGCAGAGATAAAGCCATGAGCCCTGCCATCTGGTAACATCAATCTAGTAACTTCCTAGATGAAGGAGAGCCTAGATGTGCCAGGAGACTGCCTCCCACCACCACATCTCCAGCTCAGCTCAGCCCCCTGCCCCAGGTAACTCAAGTGAGCAAGATCCTGAAAGAGACCTTGGACTCTCAGTTGCCTCAATTACATGACCAGAAAGCTTATCTCACCCTGACCTGAGCATTCTCCCTCCTAAGGTTGCCCTTTGCCCTTCCATTTGGGGAGGAAGGGATGGAAGTAGTGACAAAGAGCAGGTCAGGTCTCCTTAAAGAACACTGGCAGAATCCTTGAACAGCACTGGCAGGGGACACAGAACCTCAGCACTGTCCTCTCCCAGCTCATCAGGATCACTGTTCAGCTGCTTCGACAAGAATCACCATTCACTGAACCACAAATAATTTTTCTTGTATAAACATAAATTATCCTAATATTAATGAGGTTAATATGTACTGTCTTTTATAACCAAAATGTAGTCTTATCTTTTACCTGTAGCAAGTACTTTCTAAATAGCTTCAGATAAATGCCTAAACCACAAACAACAGTTAATGTAAAATGTATGAAATGCATTGGAATTCTAAAAATGTGAGAGTTGATGTAAAGTATTTCACTCACCCAACCCCCCACCCCATTCT